ATTGGTGCTATTCCTAAATGATGCAAGGTTTATTGTTAATGATATAACATTATTGAGGCATTATGGTAATATATGTTAATACTAGCTTAGAAGCAATTTTCTTCCTGTTTAGGAAATACAAACCAAGAAACCATCCATCTGTGTCTTAGGAGAACTTAAACAAGAGGGAAATTTTGTTATACATGACATATTTTTGCTTTCTTTGATATTATAGGTCTCCATCATAAGCAAAACATTCTTACTAAAGAAGCTAAAACAGTGCATTTGGCATGGCTTATTTATTGAAAATAAATGATGTAGTTCAGATTGTATCCAAATTTCATGGCTGTAATATATTTGTATTGGTACTGCATTAAACATCGTTAATTTACATCATTAAAATGCACAAATTTCATAACCACATTGTAACATTAAAATGTTATTTTCTGCTTGATTTACATTAACTGTTAACTCTTTGTCTGATACTTGTGACGGAGAATTACACTATGAGCTTTAATTAGTGAGCTACAGCTGAATAACCATTAATACACTGAAGACAAAACCGTCCATGTTTTAAAAAATGAAAAAAACTATGACAGATTTCTTTTTTCTTCTGCAACAAATCCAACTTAGCAAGCAATGTTACCTTATGTCAACCCACAAGTTATAATGTATTAGCTACTAAATATAGTTTGCTGCTGTAAGACAGAATAATTTTCTGTTAAAAGTAAAACATTACTTTCTCGCATATGAAAGTAATTTAATTGGCAAAAAGAAATGATTTTTGGATAAGACTCGTGATTTCATTTTTCCATCTGAACCCTGTTCGTGCTTACTTGGGCAGTATTCCTATTTCTCTTGCCAGAACTGACAAAGGTCTGACTGTTAGTGATACCTTCTATGGCTAAATTTACCCCGGAGTGACAGAGGCAGGTGGACCAGGGCAACCAACCACTTGTGCAAAGCATCATGCAACTATAGGTCAACATCGAAAGGGGAAAAAGACTCCGTCTTCTGTGTGGAAACAGACCGAAGCAAGCTCATCCCGAAGAGGGGGGGTTTCTCTTCAAAGCCAGCTGGTCTGGCTTTTTCTTCAGGATTTTTTTTCTACCTGCAGTGTTTGATCATCCAAGCCTGCAGCAGGTGCTGCAGAGCGAAGGAAAGAGGACATTGGTGAGTTTTTGGACCAAAAAGTAACAAAACACCAAAAATTGCATGTTAAAACTCCATTGCAATGTTGGCTTAGAAACTTTGCCTCAGAGCAAAGAAAATTGTAAGAGCCTACTTAATAAATTAAATGTTATTAAGTTGTTCTTTAAAGCTTTGTTGTATAAGAGTTGTTATTGTGGTCTAGCAAAGTACAAATACATTTTGAGGGTGCTGTCTATTGCCCTACATGGTGAACAAAGGAGTCTGAAAACAGTTGACAATACTTCTAAGTTAAACTAGCAAATACTATGTTTAAGATAAAAATGTCTATTTAAAAAAAAAACTTCTTGATGTGCTTGTAAGGATCTGCTATATTGTACTAGTTATTATTGATTGTGTTTTCTTTTGAAGCATCTGGTTAAATCTCGCTTTTCTAGTTATTAGCATAATCAAGCTATAGGTCAAATTATGTTAAGTATTAATGCATGTTATACAGTACTTGATAAAAAGAGTTTTTATTTTATAAAATCATAAAGTGTTCTTATGCTGCTCCTGTTAATATTTTGATAACTGATTAGTGAAGTCAGGCAAGTGTTATAAATGTCCAACTTTTCACAAACAAGTATTTAATACTATAAATGTTTATTGAATATAATTTCTATAAGTGCAAGCTTTCAGTTTCACAGTTAGATCAGTTGTGTCAGATGTCAACATGGCTAGATATTGATATTAATATGTGATCTGAGTAAATCCAACAGCTGGTTATCGTATGCAGATGCCATAGCAATATAGTAAAGCTGGTGTTTTGCTGTTTTTATCAAATTACGTTTTTCATATATTGGTAAAAAATATTAATTTCATTAAATGGCAACTGTTGAACTATCACCAGTGAGTTGTTTAAATCAGTCCTATATAGTCTGAATTCCAAAAAGTGGTTGACATAATCTTGACTTTGACATACATAACTTACAGCTGTCCTCTAGGTCATTCTTCTAATGTAGGTTTCAGCAACACCCAGTTCTGCAGATTCATTGCAAATAAGAAATTGATGTTTCATTGAGTTACATTGGAAGAGGGATCAATAAGCAGGCTAGTTGAAATTTAGTAGAAATTTGAAATGAATACATTTAATTGTTTGAATGAAATCATCATTGAGATTAGAATGCAAATACCTGCATCTTACACAGACTTTAACGTTGCTTGCAAGATCAATAACTGAAGTAGCATATAGAGAAATGATTGGACAGTGAACAGGTTCATAACAGACTGGATTTTTTTCAACCTTGGCCAATCAAATTGATAGTGAAGTCACATGAAGGAAAGTATTCCAACCTCCTTATTGATCTCTTTAGGCTGAGTCTGAATCTAACGTTTCACATCAAAAACTGATGTTGCAACTCTTAATATTAAATGAGAAATCAGAAATGAATCTTTTACAGAAATAAATGTGATTTGTTTTATTATCTGGATAGGCATATGATTATTTATACAGGTATTTACTTCGCTTCGGTCTGATTTTACCATGTGATTTTGAGTTTGGTTACAAAGTAGCCAAATTATCATATAACTTCATGGTTAATAATATATAATAGCAATAAGCAATATCAAAGGCAGGTTTGCAAACATATTTGATCTCCCACACACATACTTAATTACAGGGTTATACAGTGCCATTATAAATGTGGGGCTTTTTTTATTTGAGTGTGTTTCCGCATGAGAATTTGATAATACAAGAGTGTTCCAGAGGGTCTATTTGTTTTGGTTTCCTTATAAAAACAGTTAGAATTGCAAAAATGGTATTCCCACTGGGTGGAAGTGCTGGGTTCAGTGTTAATGGGAAAGGGTGTACTGGTGGAGTACACTCCCAGCAACTCTGGAAAGTTCTCATTGTTGGGCAATTTAGCCAGATTTAACTAAGTTAGCCACTACATGGCATTGGGGTTTGGTATGGTGAAATATTTTCAGAAACATGATAAAAATTGGAGAATAACTTTTCTGTGGAGTTTATTTTCCCCTAAGTACTAATTGAGCCCCATAATTTGGATTTTGCCTCACCTTATGATGCATTCTATCATGTTGCACTTGATTTTCTTTTTCTCCAGGTCTTTTAATGTTCACAGCAGTCAGTGGCAAACGCATATGTCATTTGCCCTTCTTCTATTTGTTTCCAGCTTCCCTAGTTTAGCTATTTGATATGCAAAGATCTAAAGAGACAAGGATCCTGTATCAGGATGTATGGCAGACATTTTTTCGGAAGGTTATATAATGAATAACTGATAACCTTTTATACCAGGACAGGAATTTTGAAATTATTTTTCACTTCTTTAGACATGTTGTTAACGGTCTTGCAAATTAATTTCTTGCTTAGGCCCGAAATTTAAAATGGATCTCTAATTTACCCATCAAAGTGACATTAACCCCCTCATAGTGACAAGCAATATTTAGTAACTCCCACAGGCGCGTTTCTCTTCCTCCATATATATGTAATTAAATACTGCTAACATTTTGAAAAGTTCTAGTTGTCTGGTTACGACCGTTATTGTTTTAAATTAGATTTGTTGAGCTTTAAGAAGAAATAAACTCTTTTCTTGCCATATATCGTACTATTCTGTTTACCCCTATTTATAAAGCTGACGTGCCATATACAAGCATGTGGACGATCGCTGTATCTTGCGCCTTGTGGGAATGTATTTCACGTAAAGCAAACGAGTAAATCAAGTTGAGTGAAGAGGTTTATAAAAAGCAGCGACATGCTTTCCAGCACTGTTCTGTGTTTGATGTGGATTACCAAATAATGTGATTGGTGTCCCTAAGATTTCCAGGATCATAACGTTGGGATTGAGTCAAAACTTCCGCAATTTTATTTTTGCTTCCAGATAACTAATGTTGACATAGCCTGGCTCAAATAAAGTTGTGAAAGATTAAAACATATTTTAAAAATGAAGATTTTTCTGGGGGGGTGTTTCAACGACTTCCACGTCTCCCTTCCCTGTACGTCACCTTGCCACGCTCTTTTTGATCATTAGGGTGGAGAGAGAGAGCCTAATGCATTAAAGTAGAATCTGTCCTGCACATATATTAAAAGTAACAGTTTTGTTGTGATTGATCGGTTTTAGTGATGTCGTTGCTGCCGCTGTGATGGTGGTGGCGATCCGAGTAGGGGTTGCAGCTCCGGTTTCCACTTCTTGCACAACTTGTGTTGATTGACAGCTCCGTCCGCGCGCTGACAGCCCGCCCGGGCAATGACGTCACTGGGGAGGGGGAGGGGAGATGAATCCGGTCTCCGGGACCAGGGAGGGACACTCGGGCAGGCGTTCAATGTTGGTCAACCTTCAAAAAGATGAAACCACGCCATTTAGTGCGCCGCTTCAAACTTTACTGCGGGGTGCATTGGCATCTTTATTAATATCTCCAAATCCAATATATTACATTCCAACATTTGAACACTTAATTCCCATCCTGGACAAAAAAACCGAATAACGCTTTACCATTGACAATCGAAGCCTGTTTATTTATTTGTTATTATTTTCCAAAGCAGGAACATGCACATAAGTAAATTAATAATAGAAGCAATTCCATTAACACTACGGTACTTGGCCAGATCCCCGCCCCGCCTCGGTAGAAAAACTAGCGCGGGACTCTTTGCGAGTTGGGCGGCGCATGGTTACGCGGCCTTCTCCTGGGCGCTGTGAGGCGGAAACGCCGCGGCGTGGTGCCGTGGATGGGAGTACCCGTGCGCGGGCGCGCGTCCGCCCGCACGCCCACACAAGCTCGTCCGCGCTGGCGGGCGCGCGCGTGTTTGTGACGTTCGTTTTCCGACGCGAGCGAGCGCAGCGACGGCCCCGCCTCCTCTCGCTAGAGCTGCTCCTCCGCTAAATATAGAAGCAGATACACACAGACAGGGAGACTGACTAAACCGAGCAGGGCTTTCTCTCTCTCTCTTTCTCTCACGGCGAAATGGCTCTATCTACAGTTCTCTATATGTCAGTTTTTTAAAGTATTGTCTTTTTAAAAAAAAATTAATATATACAAATCTCAGTCCTGAAAGTAGATTTGTCTTCATCTCACTGGTCAGTAAAAATAGAAACTTATTTTCTCCAAAAAAAAACACAGCAGCGCAGTTTTAATGACTAGACTATATCAGTAATTGTTTAATGCTTCAAGCTATATGGCAAGCAAATTACGGCCTGTGCATGTTGTTCTGCTTTAAATTGGCTGGCTCCCTCTCCCCTCCTCCTTAAAACTTACGCTGTACAAATCCGAGGAGGGAATTAAATGTTAATACTCTCTGTCATTGTTTCAGCCGTGGTTTTGTTTAATCTTTAATGTTCACATGGCCCGTAAACGTGTTGTTGTGGTGGTGAAATGATGACGAGCTTTGCGCCGGCTGACTTGTTTGTAACATGGTCGATTTTCTGCTCTGCTTTTAATCCAAGGTGTCAAAGAAGTTGGGGCTTTTAAAGTAACTTTAATTCGTCTTCAAGAGGGGAAAAATTGAGGTCGAGAACGCAGCATCGTCGAGGTTTATGCGGTAAGTGATTTTTCAATTCTACTGTGCGTATACTTTTCTCTTGTTACTGTGTTCTGTTTTGACATGTGCGGTCCGTGTGAAAGTACAGAAATCACACAGTGACTAAAATGGAGTTAGCGTGCAATATACCCAAGTGATGGCAAGGCGACAATGGACAATGGCTCTTTTTCACTTTTAATTAACCGTTTTTATACTTGGTGTTTTCACTAATATTGTTGCACGATGCGATTAATATTTCGGGTGGGTTCCCTTCCGTCGTGATGAAAGTGGCAGTAAATATCATTTGCTAGAATTGGTTCAGTTTTGAAATAGTATTGTAGACAGGTCTGATACATTAATTTGATCAATTAATACTTCAAGTACTGAGACTTGCTCTCACTCATTACTGAGTAATGAAATTGCAATGACAGCATACTGTACATAAAATCTGACTTTTCGTATGTTATAGTTTCATATTTGATAGTTTATAGTGATGTGTCGGTGACAGTTCACTCTGAAAGTGGACACACGATGCTGTGCATACTTTCCGTGCATTCAGCGAGTGACTTTCATTCTGCATTTCTTCTTATGCGAGGAGGGTCATGTTACTTGAATTATGTTGGAACTGTGGCTGAGGTTGTTTATTTGCGATTTCCTCAACTTTACCATTACGACCAATCTTTATCTGTGGTGATTTGCACTTCCTGTGTTGATGCTATCCAGAGAATTTGAAGTCTACCCCGTCTGAGAGGAGCTGCTTGTTTTAATTTCCAAATAGCTGTTCGGTGTAACAGGATTGTTTTAACATGGGCCGGAGTCTTGGCGCAGTCGGAAACATTCAGACAGTGGAATGTGTAGAACTGCTTTCCAAGTTAGACTGCTGCGCATTATACTGAACCATGTGAAGTCTGAATGTCTCTTCGTGCACCTACATCCCAACTGATCGTCATAGACAACCATACCTCCATTCAGTAACTCTTTCTGCAAGTCAAGGATAATCTTCTTTCTATCTCATCGCCACAGCTATCCCTTATTTTCAAGTTTCTTCCTCATCTAAACTCATTTTTTAGACTTTGATACATTTCCATTCATTTGGTTTATCGATGTATTCTTTAAGATTAAGTTTTCTTCTGTTTTATAGACGCCCGATCAGCCCATGCTATCTTTATTTTCTAGTTTTTCTCAGTTGTGCGAAGTGCTCACAAAATTTCAGGCAGTTAATTGCAATGGTGTAGAAGCATTCTGTGTTGATCTAATTCAGACTGAAGAACAGTGACTTGGTTCTGGATTCGTGACAGCACTAGAATAATGACAAAAATACGTTTAACTGGGATAAAACTCGAGATTGTAATGTGTTTGGTATCATTTTCCCATAGTTTACTGTGAAAAGGCATTTTTGTAAGCTTAATGAGGCTATGGGAATTATACTGTAGGAGGGGGTAGTTATTCTCTGTCTTCCGTCCCTGTAGATTTTTAATGTATCATACTAATGGCTGTAATACATTACATTGTACGCCAAGTTACAGAAATAGTGCCAACGTGCTGTCAGACAAGGTCATGCTCAATATTACATTATCAAAACAAAATATGACAAATCTCTTACAATGTAGTCATGGAGGCGATGAATACCTATTATGCAGAGTAAATGAAAGTTAGTGTGTTATATCAAGGTGAAAAGGAGTGCAGTCAGCTTGTTTATCCGATGATGAGAATCAGTCCTGGTTAGTCATGTGTTATATAGGAGTTAATGTTTTCTGTCTTGTCTGGTAGCACGGTATTTGTTTTAGGAAAATGAAGATTTGATCCCGCCCCTTTTTTTCAAGAATGAAACTGATAATCCATAAAACTGGTTTAGGATTGTGGGAGGATAATGGTCCTTTAACCTCTTCTTTCCTGCGCTGAATGGTCTAAAGTAATGTGTAGTGATTTTGTTCTAAATCAGCAGCAAATTTTCGTGAGTTCGGAGTTTTATCAGCGGAGTCCACCGAGAGGGGTCGATCAACTAAGTTGAAACCCGAGTGCAGCACGTTAATCAGGTCCAGAGCAGGGAGATAGTAATTTAGCAGCCAAGGTTCAATCGCGTGCACACCTTCTGTTTGGAGAAGATTTTAATCACAGGAGATTGGAAAGTGAGTGAAACTCCGTCAGCAATTAGCTTACATTTTGTGTCCAGATATTTAATGTTGATTTGACTTTCTCCAATTCTTTTTGATTGTCAGTTGCGAGTTAGTTATAAACTTCACTGCTCTCCACGGTCTTGACATAGGCATTGCAAACTCTTGCGACCAGTTGTCAATATTAAGTTTTTTTTTCGTGTTTAGGCGTTGTTGAGGTCGCGTTGTTTGTAAGATGAAACCTGTTACTTTGTGATGTCTGATATGTCGTGTTGTTGATTACACCCGAAATGTTTTGACCTTGTAATGTGTGCTTCGTGTTCTCTCTTTGACGTTAACATAAATGAACAAGATATTGGCCCTTTGCACTTCTTCTTCTGAGAGATTGACATTAGCGTATTGTAGTAATCTACTTTCATGACTTGCTTTTTTCAAAACCATCAACCTTTTTTGAAAGAAAGGGAATTGCCCGTGTAATACGCGCGTGCTCCCATCTAGTTTAGAAACGCCCACCACAAATCATTCCAATATTTGAGTAAAACACATATATATATCAGAAAAATCTTTTTACATTCAGTGACCAAAATCCGAAATGCACAAATACTATGACTCGTCAGAGGTCAGATTATTGGCTAAAAGCCAACATTTGGTTTTGCATATAATTTGACTAGGTGGAGTGAGCATTTTGTCATGACAAACTTGAAGAATTATTCCTTGGCGCTAATGCTGGTTTTGAGGTTACTTCTATTTCCTGGTGTCTCTGAGTACATAGGTGAGCAGAAGCCCTGGCATGCCAGCCTGGGAAATGACTACTACAGTTTGTTTTTGCTGGCAGCATTTGTTGGGTAGAGGAACATTGCAAAGGGAAGATGTTAACGTGGAGGAGAGGAAATGCAATTTCTGTTTGTTCAGTGAAGCATCTTCAAGATTATCTGCGCATACATTCAGGCAACTTAACTGTTTTAAAAATAATATTTTAACAGCTCTTGGTTTGTTTTGCCACATTTTACTGTTTACTTTCAGATACTTCTTATTTTAAAAACAACTTTCACATACTAACTCTTATGATGTTTCCTCTCTTTACTATCTTAATTTGCACCCAAATGATCTTTGATTTGATTCCCCTCACACCCACCACCCACTCTCCCCAGATTCTACCTGTGACTTTACGTTAAAGACATTTCTGGGTTTATAGTACAGTGGTGTTCATGTTACAAAAAAAACATAATGGTTCAAACAACTTCTCCTTGTTTGGTTAACTCATAAAAAAAAACCTTTGTTTCATTTAAGGCCAACAAAAAAGAACATTGAACACATGTACCCAGATTACGAATATTGTTTAGAGTTAATCAAGAAAGGAATTCACTAAACTATATAGAACAAGCATGCATATGTATGTGACCTTTTTGATATTAGCATTAGATGGTTATATGGACTTGAATATTGTATGCAATGTTTTCTTCTATGGGAACATTGTGGTGGAAGATTATTTTAGTTATAGTAGGTAAATACTTTGATCACAATCTAAACTAAAATTAGAACAAAAATGGATTTTCATGCAGTTTTTTTTTAAGTCTGGCAATGTGGAACAATGGTAGGATCCTTGATTACAATTTTTGTTTTGTCAGTACAAAAATAAGTGAGTGGGTAACCAGAAAGCATGACTAGATAAAAAAGATGCTGCCGATTGTTTGATGTGACAGTGTAACTTTCTATCAAGGTTCATAGAGCACTATTGACATATACTTAATGCTTAGATTTTTTTTATGTAGTTCAAGAGCTTTCAACATTCATAAAATAATTTCTAAACATTTAGAAATTATTTTGTGAATGTGACAATACTTCCAAACATCAATTAAATTTTGATTTAACTGATCATTTCGAGGAAACAAAAACAACATAAAAGAAAAGGTTAGTACGCAGCATAATCTCAGGTGCACTGGGCATGAACTATTACGTTTTTATGATGCAGCAGTTATATCTAGACTATAATTTTTTTGTTGAATGAGGTAGGATATATTAACCTTAATAATTGCTTATTGCTTCTGTAGGATTAAATCCTAATCTTCTGTGGCCTAAGGCAAATTTATAACGTGGACATGTGATTAGAGATATATTCATTAGTACTTTAATCTTGTAGTCACACAGGCATTTGCACAATGAACGGCAAACATTCAGTGTGGCTGTCATCTTCAAGAAATCAGACAGGCTTTCACAGGCAATTCATGAAAAACCAGCAGTGACAACAGAGTCTTATGTATCGTACAAAGAAAGGATTAGGCAGTTCACGTGTCATCCTGATTGGCCAGAGACCAGAGCCGATTGCTGGGGTATGGCAAGACGCACTCCAGTTTCAGTTGATTATCATGTGAGGAGACAGTATCCCTGCTGGTTGGCCTACATAGTTTGTAATGTAAAACTGCTAAAATCAAATCTGAGCTGTACCTTCTTCAGTTTGCTCCAGCTATTTTTCTAAACTTGATGCTTGATTGTCAAGCTAAAGGATGCAGAATTTTCTCATGTCATATCATTCTAAATTGTTCTGCGAAGAAAACTGATGTGTTGAAAAGCTTTGAAATGCATTATCCAAAATAGTCAATTGCAATGCATATTTAAACATTTGAATTTCAAGCTATTTTGTAATATGTGTTAAAACAATTAAAATTAATTGCATGGATTATTTTATTTGAAATATAGTTATATCTGTGTGTGAAGAAGGATGTTCATGTGGTTGCCAGCATAATTCCATTAAAGATTTATGGCAGATACATTTGTACAACATTATGTTGGAGCGATGCTATCTGTATATGTTATGTTAGATGAATGCTGGAAAGCAGAATTACATACTATTTCATTCTGACTTCAGCATAAACAAACCATTTTGCATGAATTGACATAAACACAAAA